TTTAAAGGCTACTTTTTAAAATATTAAAATGTCTGCAGACGATGAAGAACACAGTGAAAGCGAATTTTACTATCTCACAAAAGATATTACTCTTCCCGATAGCATTGATAGAAACGACGTTTTATTTGGCAGCTTCATTCGCGTGCGGGAGGAGTGATTGGGGGAAATCCAGAGGAGGAATTAAAAAAAGAAAAATATTATTTACCGGTATGGTCGGTCCGCATAGAGAAATATTTCTCTCGGTCTTAAAAACGTCCCTCGGCCTTCGGCCTCGGGCCGTTTTTAAGACCTCGAGAAATATTTCTCTGTACGGACCTCCCATCCGGTAAATAACATATATATATAACCTAACATAACCTAACTGAACAATAACACACATATTAACTCGCACTCACTTTTTAGGTTATATTAATACTAAGAGAACAGGAATAGGTTTTGTCTCTACCACAAATTTACCCTTGCGTCATTGGAACACATTTACTGATATTTTGTTCCTATATTGTGGGCATAATCAAATCCTAATATATCACATCATGCAATGGCTTGTCAGTCACGTTCTTATGTGGGATTAGGAGTTCCCATTAAACTGCAAAATTTTATCTCTTATTACGTTATACATATAGCCTATCTTATCACGTTATACATATATTCCACTACACATACATTCAACAAAGATTTCAAACAAAATAATAGAATAAGTCCAAAGCCCATGAATTACATTTATTCGAGCTTTAAAATTACGTGTGACCACGGGCAGTTAAATTTAACTAGCAGTTAAAATAGAGTGTATATATGGCATCTAAATTATTCAATATATTGCTTAAAAGTGCTGCTAAATCCACAAATACATTTATACGTTACGCAAATTGGCCTACTTTTCAAAATCCGGCATATTTACTTATATTACAACCCAAGTTTTCGCCGCTCACGCGAAGTATTACGTGTCGTCTCGCCTCGAAGGATACGCACGTGATTTGCAGTGATATTAGGAGGGTAAGATCAAAGTGGCCGTTGTAACTCGCTAACCCATAAGGTCATTCTGTTGTGCAAATCGTTCCGAGCGTTAGGAATCTTTATGACAACATAGCATCCTCTATACAATACACTGGGGACACGTTTGTGTCATATAAGGAAGTTGAGTACACGCTTGTGCCACATACGGAAGTATCGTTTCCTCTCGCTTCGAAAATGAAATAATTGGCCGATTTATTTTCCTACTGTCAGTACAAATCACGGACGTGAGCCGCGAAAGCTTGCTGTGCTTGGATCCTAATGTAACAAAATATGGCGGATTTGAAAATATACAGTATTTGCATAATATGTAAACATTTACATATTTATAAGCACTGTGAAGCAAGATATTGAATAACTTTATTTCAACTGATGCTTGTGATGTTACTCTGAGTGTATATCCACACCGGGCAAGCTTGAAAAATATGCCTGGCCACGGTGGGAATCGAACCTACGACCTTGGGGATACTACATCAATGCTCTGCCAACTGAGCTACGCGGACAGATCGGTTCGAACCGACCTGAAAGCCTGGGTCGACACAGTTGACAGAGCATTGGGCTAGTATTCCAAAGGTCGTAGGTTCCATTCCCAACGTGGCCAGGCATATTTTTCAAGGTTGTCCGGTGTGGATATACACTCAGAGTAACATCACAAGCATCATATTCACCTGAGTACATTACACCAACATAGAGGTTGCGTTTCAAGTTATATTTTACTTTCATCAAAGCTCACAAAATTCAAAATAATATACCTACCGTATATGTTTTGGAAATTTATTGTTTGTATAGTTAAAAGTACGAATCTTTCAACTATTTTGCAGTTTTGTACAAAAAATATGAAAAAATTAAAAATTTAAAGGGTATGGGCAACAAAAAATTGATTTTATTGCTTCATCTGAAAGAGCATGAAAAAGTAAGCCGATTGGCCGTTTACTGCTCTATTCTATCTCATCTGGTTCCGAAGTTATACGCAAAAATGTGCAAAATATAAATTGCTCATTCAGCACAATTAATGTGTGACGTCATAAGCTTGGTAAGTATGTTTATTGAATAGTAAACTAAAGCATAGCTAAGTTATTATTGGCTCAAATCAAATGAAATTTTGCATACAGACAGTACATGATGAGACGCATGGGAAAATACTCTAATTTCGTTGTCAAGGCAACACAGTCGTTCCCAGGCCCCTTACACTGATTTTGAATAACTAGTTGCATTTCTCTATGTGTATGTCATTTTCGAATTATTATCATGCAAGTAAACTTTCGGCATGCATAGGTATCGTACACATACTTCTGATATTATTATATTTTTATCAGTACCTTGAATAAAGCTGTTTTATAAAATTGGCGCAAGGGGCCTGGGAACGACATTGTTACCTTGGCAACAAAATCAGAAGTGTTTTTCCATGCGTCTCATCATGTACAATCAGTATCCAAAATTTCATTTGATTTGGGCCCATAATAACTGAGCTATGCTTCAGTGTAGTATTCAATAAACATACTTACCCAGCTAATGACGTCACACGTTGTGCTGAATCAGAAATTTATATTTTGTACATTTTTGCGTATAACTTCGGAACTAGATGAGATAGAATAGAGCATTAAACAGCCAATCGGCTTATTTTTTCATGCTCTTTCAGATGAAGCAATAAGATAGATGAAGCAATTTTAATTGCCCATACCCTTTAAGAATATCGTGTTGTCATGACAAGTTGACAACACTGGAGCGCGAGCCTGCGTTCAGTGCGCCATTTCGGAATACTTCATGTTAATTAATGTTTGGAAAATATTGGCGAGGGGTTACTGTATACATGTATTTCTAGTTATTATTCTATTATTCGGATCTTGCCGGATACATTACATTCCAAAGTTATATACTGTACTGTTCAATTAAGTAATGGATGTTTATTCAAAAGTAAAATGGTTAATGCATTTTCAGAATTAAAAAATCCATTATTTGAATTAATCAACAAACATATACACACGTAAGTTGCATATGTAGCTCCACTGATTAGAATTAATAAAACAATTTACAAAAATAGTGACATATTTATTAGTGACATATGAAGTACAGTACGTATATTAGGGAATGACGGGATTGCGAGTTTGAAGAGAAGTAGTTGTAATTGTATTCACGTCACATGACATGATTACTTGATATGTTAAAACGTCGATTGAATAAATTACAAATTTGACAAGCCCACGTCTTTCCTAACGTTCGGCACTGTCCTTTCACTTCGAATTTTCAAAAGATCAATCGTCTGAATCAGCATAAAAAACATCTGAAAGTTTCCCAATAGCTACATTTCCCCAAATCAAACCTACAGTAAATCGTAAATTCTCAATTAGTTTGAAGTTTAGTGTTATTTTGAGCGAAATATAACTAAGAGCCTTATCTTGCACGGTTATCGTGATGCGGAGACATTCTAGGTAATATTCCTCATTCTTAAATATAAGCGTTCATCGCTAGAAATTGCGGACATTTGGAATGCAGCAAGCATTCTCGCGTCAGTCCCCATTTTCTTAGCATATTCACGTCGGTGTCATCATTTTAGCTACTATACTTCAATTTTTATTGACCATTTTTTGTGCGTTCGAACCAAGTTCGTTCTAAAATGTGTGTTATTACCAAATATATAGAAATAATTAAGAGTGAAAATCTAATACAAAGCCGGAATTTAAAATCCTTATCTATATGACACTGATGACGGGACAGGTGACTTAGACTTGTTTTATTACGACAATAAATACTTAGACTTGTTTTATTACGACAATTACGACAATAAATAATGAGATGATAGACCTCATTAAGCTTCATTATCTATTGTTTGAATTGCATTTGACGCCACCGAAATTCGAAGTATAAAACAGGCCTTATTAAATGTATCTATGTATATGTACCTTGTCTTCCACTTCATTAGAGTTGTTGTTGGGTTGTCGTGAACATGCATGTTCATCGTTGCTGTACTTGCTCATCCAAGTTTGGAAGGATTTAACAAACTCTACCCTTTGACTTTCCATTCCAAAGAAATACAGGAATGGATTGCAGCACGAGTTTACAAAAGTGAAAGCGTTCAACCAACCCCATACAACAAATTTTTCGTCATCAGTTAAACTTTTGGTCTCTGCTGAATACACTCTCAGGATGCAAGTGGGGAGGTAAGTTGCATAGAACATACACATAATGATAAAAGCTGTACGTACACTTTTTCTTATAAAAGTAAATTTTGCTTGAGATCTTCTTGAGAGATTAGAAATATTTTTCCTTTGCCGTCTTGCTATTTTAAATAATACGCCATAAATACAAGAGAGTATCACAAGCTGAGCAAACGATATTGAAGCAAAAAATAGTTCGTATTCTTCATGTTTGTCCAACATGTAGCTGAAACCATGCATAATTCCAAGAATAATAGCCGATATCCAAGAAACCGCGATGAAAGTCGAAGACACCTTTGGCGTTACCAGAATTTTATACCTCAAAGGCCAAACAACAGCCGTGAATCGGTCAAATGCGATACATATAATGGCATTGCCTGTGGAAAAAACACACACGACAAACAAGGACGCGTAGACACGAGTATGGTCAGATTTCTCTCGTGACATGAGATGATGTGTTCGCCAAGGAAGATACGTTGTTAAAGCGATGAAGTCGGATATGGCTAAATTTAGAATCATTTTATCCGAAGCAGTGCGTCGTTTGCGCTGACGAGAGACAAGAAAATAAATAATTACACATAAATTTGCTGTAGTTCCAACCAATATTTGTATAGAAGTGAAAATTACCAGCGATGTTGAATGTTGTGAACTAAGAAGCTTCGTTTTTTCGGTCGTCATTTTCCAGTCCGACATTGACCAAAAATAATGATAACTGATAATTTGAAAGTAAAATGATCATTTACTTCCAAACAAATACAAATTTTCCTGAATTTCCGACAATCTGCAATTTCCATTCCAAATTTCCGACAAGTTAATGTCTATATATTGCGTGTTTTCCGCCTCTATTCAACATTGCTACAGTGGGAACTGGGAAGACCAGTCGATGGAAATTTGTCGGCTCCTTGCAGCCAAAAAAAAAACGTGATGGTAATCTAGGGGCGCTTTCCATTTAATGGCCTGACCGATCAGACCCGCATTCTTTTCTCTGGTACCAGTGGAAAGATCTGGTCTATCTTTCTCACATATATAGAGAAAATGGACCTCATTCTAATGTTATCTAAATTTTCTGGTCAGATAGGTCCGAAACCATGCAAGTGCTTTGTGTTCCATTCAAAAATTTGACCGTTCTGACCGGTCTGGCCGTATTAATGGAAAGCACCCTAGTATTTTGCTAGCTACAAAAATGTAATCCTCTTTTCTTTAATTACGTATACGCCTGATCGAAGAATTTTGAAAAGATTTTGATAAGGTTTTGCTGCTCTGACTCCACCAGGAAAGTAATATTCTTGTGTCGAATTGGATAACTAACAGCTAAGCTGTTTTGGATAAGGCTTTGGACGACCGTAAAACTTGTACTACTGTCTATAATTTGATGTAAGCCTCGTTGTCTCTGACGCAATGGCCAAGTCAGCTTCCTTTTACTGCACTATAATCTCTTACGGGCAACTTGACCTCGTTGTATATAGCTGCTACATAATTGCTGTGTTGTTATCATACTAGGTGTTATCACATTGGGGGTTTCACCCATATTACCATATCTGAAATATTTTTTCAGATCATGCAGTATGACGTATCGTCAATAATGACCCGCCATTTTGGTTGGCAAAAATATTTTGTTCAACCGCCTACTACCAGCTGTGCATGGACCATTATAACTCTGCAAAGTGCTCAAACAAAAACAACAGCCGTGGTCAGTGCGACAATAGAGAGTTTGGCAAATACAACGGCAACGGCAATGAGAACGTGCTTATCTACAATCGCATCTTTGCTTTAAGACAAAGGCGACTATAATTTTCATTCCTTAAGGATTCTAGTGCGCCGCAGTTGTTCAAACTGCAACGTTATTTACACCATTTTCACGGCTCATGGCCACGCCAATAGAGTAAAACTTTCAAGTCGTTTGGGTTGTCTTATGTGAATTCCCATATTATTGCTACTTCAGGGAATTTCAGGGTTGTTTAAAAGAAAGATAAGTGATTTTGAAAGTTTAGTAACGTATGTTTTCGCTCAAATACAAAAGTATAAGTAACTTTGTTTTCTGCCGTCGCCGTTGTTGGTTGCCAAACTCACTAATCTTGCTTTGACGCCATGCTTGCTTTTAATTAAATATTTTCAATTCGTCACCCCAAACACGGCGCAATTCAACAAATATATAGGCATTGACATTGATATAATTGCAACACTACTTTTAGATAAACTGCCTCTCTTTTTTTTTAAGCCAAATATGACCCCCAGATACGTGTGCTAATAGGATGATCAACTGATTGAGCGCTCTTCCTATGGGTGAAAAGACTGGAACTGACCTTCAAGTTTGGCTCCAAATTTCCGGTTGAAGGAAGCTTTCCGGTTATATTCATTTTGATGCAAATAAGTGTTGTGACGTCACTTGCAAAAGCCCAATACACAATGGTTATTCCTAAACTATAAGCCAGTGTTTTTCAATAGCCACATTTCCCCAAATCAATCCTGAATCGTAAATTCTCAATCTCGTACCCAGAGCCATCGTTGAGTGGCTCTGGCCACATGGGATTGAAAAACGATCCTGATTGGTCGATTCATAGGTTATTGAACCCATACCCCCTGTGGCGTGCACGAGCGCGGCCAATATGAGTGAATACGATATATTTTGCTTTATTTGGTCTGAAAATTTGCTTATTTTGACGAAAAAGTGGTGAAGGGATTAAGGAGTTGATTTATGCATATTTGAATTCATTTGGGCAAAATAACAGGTTTCGTTATGGTAATAATTCATACTCTTGGTTCACCCTGAGTGAGTATTGATGGGAATGATGGTATATGTCCTTGATCAGTATATTGGAGTGTTATTATTGAAAAGAAACTCAAGCGTACAAGACTTACAAGCGTACATGTATGCTAGGACTGTGTTTATACAAGATTTGGGATTTTTAAATTGAACTGTAAATGTATGAATCATGGTGTGAATGTAACAATTAAACAGCATTTGGATTCTTTTGCAACTTGTCAACTCGTTTGATAGAATTGTTTGATGATACAATATATTGTTTCTGTTTACAGTATTGCCTGTACAACTCTGTCAGAAACATTGGTGTTAATAGCAGCCAAAAAAGGTTTCATTAAAGGCCATGTTATGTAAAGTATGTAATGTCCATACACGTAATGCCCATACACGTATGTAATGTCCATACATGTAATGCCCATACACGACAATTAAACTTTTTGTGTTCTCTTTATCAACTTGACCAATTAATTAATAAACCTACAAGAGAGACCAACACCTCGGCGACCTTGATTGATTTGGTCTTAAAGTGCATATGACATTAATACCATTTTTTCACCAAAAATCAGCAAAAATTAGACAATTCTACGGTGGCCCACAAGGGACATGCTGCAAATAAAAGAATTACTGCAAATATGTTAAAATTCGTTCAAATATAATAAATATTCTGCAAATATATTATAATTGCAGCAATTATATTAAAGTTGCTGCAAATTAAAATAAAGTTGCTGCAAATTAAAATAAAGTTGCTGCAAATTAAAAATAAAGTTGCTGCAAATTCAAAATAAAGTTGCTGCAAATTAAAATAAAGTTGCTGCAAATTAAAGTAAAGTTGCTGCAAATTCAAAATAAAGTTGTTGCAAATTAAAAATGAAGTTGCTGCAAATTAAAATAAAGTTGCTGCAAATTAAAATAAAGTTGCTGCAAATTAAAAATAAAGTTGCTGCAAATTAAAATAAAGTTGCTGCAAATTAAAATAAAGTTGCTGCAAATTAAAATAAAGTTGCTGCAAATTCAAAATAAAGTTGCTGCAAATTAAAAATGAAGTTGCTGCAAATTAAAGTGAAGTTGCTGCAAATTAAAATAAAGTTGCTGCAAATTAAAAATAAAGTTGCTGCAAATTAAAAATGAAGTTGCTGCAAATTAAAAACAGGAATTTATGCGTGCGCATAAATTCAAGTTCAAAACTAAATTAAACATTGAAGTTCGCCATTTTGAAATTGCCAAATTAACGACAAAGATAGAAGTAAGAAGAGAGATGTTTTGCAGTTCATGTGGCGTGGTTTGTGAGCCCGATTCATTTTTTTGTCACGCATGTGGTTGTAGAGTTGACGTTACGGAGGGTTCAAGAACGGATATTGATGATATAATAACAGATTACTTTTATCGTGGCTATCAATATAGTGCAATTTTAGGTTTGCTTAAAAAGCACCAAGGAGTACAGATCCATGTAAGAACACTTAAAAGGAAACTCAAGGAGCTTGGATTAAAACGAAGAGAAGCTAATTATGACGAAGAAACTGTTCGACAGTGTATTGAGCAGGAGATGCAAGAAGCAGGTAGCCTGGCTGGGTATCGTTATATCTGGCATGCCCTGAGATTGAGACATCATCTGAATGTCCCACGACGACTAGTAGCGATAATCATGAAAGAAATCGACCCTGATGGAGTTAGAGCGAGGAGAGCTGGGCGGTTGACAAGAAGAAATTACATTTCCCTTGGGCCAAATTTCGCATGGCACATTGACGGTACAGATTTTTATTATTTTCATTATTAAATTACAAGGGAGATGAGAAGCGATATACGCCTTTTCGGAGGGGGGGGGAGGGGGTTGGACACTATGTTAGCTAGGTCAGATTTAGGTCGGCATTTTTTTCCGACCTCAATTTTGACGCTTTTCGAGGGCAGATTTAAAAATTAAAAGGTCAAAATTTTCAAAATTTGTGAATTCCTCCATTTTGAAATTGTTTACAGCAATAAAGAAAATAAAATTCAAAGTTTGTTATACTAGACTGATTTTCATTGGCTGTAGACAAGAGTGCGATTACAGCTCAGAAAAGGTGCGATCAATGCTCAAATCGCCACTCATGTAAATCAATGAAATTGCAGTATTTGCCACTGATTACAGAAGATAAATAATTAATAATTGTACTCCTCTCAACCGACCAGAATCCAGTAATTTTATCATGCTAATAGTAATTACTATAATACCCCCGCATTTTCATGCATATTTGCATTTACGTGGTGTTTCCACAAACAAAAAAGTATTATGTTTTATCTCCATGCAAACCTACAAAGAACTAATTAATATGTCTTCATTTTGTTAAGGGTACGACAAGCTGAAACCCTATGGGTTTCCTATCCACGGGTGTATTTGCGGATATAGTAGAAAGATAATTTGGTTGGAACTTGTGAAATCTAACAATAACCCCAAGATTCCTGCCAGATTGTATCTTGATGCTGTTGAGAATGTGAAAGGGTGTCCCCGTGTTGTACGGTCGGATTGCGGCACCGAGAATGTTATTATTGCTGGGATGCAGTCTTATTTTAGAGCAGATGGAAATGATGAATTTGCAGGCACAAAAGCACACCAGTATGGGTCATCGCCAGCAAACCAACGTATAGAAGCCTGGTGGTCTTTTTTTCGGCGAAGCAACTCAAGTTGGTGGATTAATTTATTCAAAGATATGTGTGAATCCGGAGTTCTGGAACTCGGCAACAACTTCCATATGCAATGTTTATGGTTCTGCTTTTCAAGATTAATCCAAAATGAACTTGATAAAGTA